TTAAAAAAAAAAAAAAAAAATAAATGAAGATGTTGGAATGTCGTAAAAATATCGTTTTCCACTTCGAATAACTATTTTTTTTTCATTATGATACATTTCATTTAATTCATATCTGATTCATATATTGTAATACATTAAAAAAAAAAAATGTGGGCCATCGATCTTATAATCAACGTCTCAAAAAAAAAATCTATTAATATAAGTCCGTAGGTTCAATTTCTAAATTTATTTTGTAATATTTTAATTTTTCGAAAGCACATCATCGACAACAACAACAACAACAACAACAACAGCAACAACACCAAAACAACCCTGAAGACAATATACGGAAATGAACACCAACAGGATGAAAGCGATTCGCCCAGCCATGTGGTATCAAAAGCCTTCTAAACAGTGGTGTCCACTTCATGTCAGAAGGACGCTACTACGAAAAGAAGTCTTATTGGGGGCGTGGGGGTGGGGGGCGTGAATGGTGCTGGTGGTGAGGGGCGTGGGAGCCGGGTGGCGGGTCATGGGCGGGGTGGGAGTGGGGAAGCGGGCGTGGTGGGGGGAGGGTGGGGGGAGGCTAAAAAGTAAAATAATAAATCTCATCACGCACCCCAAACATTTCTGAGGAAAGACAATGGCCGTGACATCATTCAAGTGGTCACATGACTCAGGAGGCTCATCAATGAAACCGTGATCGTCTGTTGTAGCGCGCGCGGCCTCACGTTTCACCGAATGATGTTGACAGAAGCCAGCTGCGCCGATGTCTTAGTGGGGTGCATGGGGTGGGGGGGTGGGGGAGCGGGAAGCGACGTTCATCTCAGAAGTAAGGCATGATTTTTTGGGGGGAGGGGTTTGGGGGCCGTCAGATTGATGGATTCAGTTTATATTTAATATGATTAGCTCAAATGACGTCGCCGTCCAGGGAATTTCAGGGAATTTCGATACAACCCCCCACGTTTAGCCTCAGACGCAGATCGTAATCGATACAACCCCCCACGTTTAGCCTCAGACGCAGATCGGGATTGATATAACCCCCCACGTTTAGCCTCAGACGCAGATCGTGATTTTCTTTTTTTTTCAGCAACGCCAAATGATACTCTCTCTAGATGCCACTCTCTCTAGATGCCACTCTCTCTAGATGCCACTCTCTCTAGATGCCACTCTCTCTAGATGCCACTCTCTCTAGATGCCACTCTCTCTAGATGCCACTCTCTCTAGATGC